CCATTCAAAGTTCAGTCTTGCAGGTTTTTGAATAGAAAGCTGTGAAAGGAAAAGGAGATGAGAAAAATACAGAAAGTAGGAATCCAAGATCGACCATCCAAAGTTCATTTGTGCTAGTACTGTGCTAGGACAGTTGGGCAAAACTATAGATAGAATATCCTCTAGAACCATGAAAAGACTGAATTGGATGTTTGGGATTAAGATTAAGCATGTATTTGTGGTGCTCCCTGCCCCTTCCTCCACATCTACCCATCCAAAGTTCATTCTTGGAGCTGTTTGAAAGCAAACTTTAAAAGGAAAATGACATCTAAAAAGTAGGAATCCAAGATCTTACCATCCAAAGTTGAAATTGCAGGTTTTTGAAAAGAAGCAACGAAAGGAAAATGGGATGAGAAAAGAAGGAATCCACGATCTTACCATTCAAAGTTCAGTCTTGCAGGTTTTTGAAAAGAAAGCTGCGAAAGGAAAAGGAGATGAGAAAAGTATAGAAAAGTAGGAATCCAAGATCGACCATCCAAAGTTCATTTTTGCTAGTGCTGTGCTAGGACAGTTGGGCAAAACTATAGATAGAATATCCTCTAGAACCATGAAAAGACTGAATTTTTAAAGGATGCTTGGAGTTGAGCATGTATTTGTGGTGTTCCCTGCCCCTTCCTCCACATCTACCCATCCAAAGTTCATTCTTGGAGCTGTTTGAAAGCAAGCTTTAAAAGGAAAATGGCATTAAAAAAGTAGGAATCCAGGATCTTACCATCCAAAGTTGAAATTGCAGGTTTTTGAAAAGAAGCAACAAAAGGAAAATGGGATGAGAAAAGAAGAAATCCACGATCTTACCATTCAAAGTTCAGTCTTGCAGGTTTTTGAATAGAAAGCCGTGAAAGGAAAAGGAGATGAGAAAAGTACAGAAAAGTAGGAATCCAAGATCGACCATCCAAAGTTCATTTGTGCTAGTGCTGTGCTAGGACAGTTGGGCAAAACTATAGATAGAATATCCTCTAGAACCATGAAAAGACTGAATTTTTTAAGGATGTTTGGGATTAAGCATGTATTGTGGTGCTCCCTGCCCCTTCCTCCACATCTACCCATCCAAAGTTCATTCTTGGAGCTGTTTGAAAGCAAGCTTTAAAAGGAAAATGGCATTAAAAAATAGGAATCCAAGATCTTACCATCCAAAGTTGAAATTGCAGGTTTTGAAAAGAAGCAACAAAAGGAAAATGGGATGAGAAAAGAAGGAATCCACGATCTTACCATTTAAAGTTCAGTCTTGCAGGTTTTTGAATAGAAAGCTGTGAAAGGAAAAGGAGATGAGAAAAGTATAGAAAGTAGGAATCCAAGATCGACCATCCAAAGTTCATTCTTGGAGCTGTTTGAAAGCACACTTTAAAAGGAAAATGGCATTAAAAAGTAGGAATCCAAGATCTTACCATCCAAAGTTGAAATTGCAGGTTTTTGAAAAGAAACCACAAAAGGAAAATGGGATGAGAAAAGAAATAATCCACGATCTTACCATTCAAAGTTCAGTCTTGCAGGTTTTTGAATAGAAAGCTGTGAAAAGAAAAGGAGACGAGAAAAGTATAGAAAAGTAGGAACCCAAGATCGACCATCCAAAGTTCATTTTTGCTAGTGCTGTGCTAGGACAGTTGGGCAAAACTATAGATAGAATATCCTCTAGAACCATGAAAAGACTGAATTTTTAAAGGATGCTTGGAGTTGAGCATGTATTTGTGGTGTTCCCTGCCCCTTCCTCCACATCTACCCATCCAAAGTTCATTCTTGGAGCTGTTTGAAAGCAAGCTTTAAAAGGAAAATGGCATTAAAAAGTAGGAATCCAGGATCTTACCATCCAAAGTTGAAATTGCAGGTTTTTGAAAAGAAGCAACAAAAGGAAAATGGGATGAGAAAAGAAGAAATCCACGATCTTACCATTCAAAGTTCAGTCTTGCAGGTTTTTGAATAGAAAGCCGTGAAAGGAAAAGGAGATGAGAAAAGTACAGAAAAGTAGGAATCCAAGATCGACCATCCAAAGTTCATTTGTGCTAGTACTGTGCTAGGACAGTTGGGCAAAACTATAGATAGAATATCCTCTAGAACCATGAAAAGACTGAATTTTTAAAGGATGTTTGGGATTAAGCATGTATTTGTGGTGCTCCCTGCCCCTTCCTCCACATCTACCCATCCAAAGTTCATTCTTGGAGTTGTTTGAAAGCAAACTTTAAAAGGAAAATGGCATCTAAAAAGTAGGAATCCAAGATCTTACCATCCAAAGTTGAAATTGCAGGTTTTGAAAAGAAACCACAAAAGGAAAATGGGATGAGAAAAGAAATAATCCACGATCTTACCATTCAAAGTTCAGTCTTGCAGGTTTTTGAATAGAAAGCTGTGAAAAGAAAAGGAGACGAGAAAAGTATAGAAAAGTAGGAACCCAAGATCGACCATCCAAAGTTCATTTTTGCTAGTGCTGTGCTAGGACAGTTGGGCAAAACTATAGATAGAATATCCTCTAGAACCATGAAAAGACTGAATTTTTAAAGGATGCTTGGAGTTGAGCATGTATTTGTGGTGTTCCCTGCCCCTTCCTCCACATCTACCCATCCAAAGTTCATTCTTGGAGCTGTTTGAAAGCACACTTTAAAAGGAAAATGGCATTAAAAAAGTAGGAATCCAAGATCTTACCATCCAAAGTTGAAATTGCAGGTTTTTGAAAAGAAACCACAAAAGGAAAATGGGATGAGAAAAGAAATAATCCACGATCTTACCATTCAAAGTTCAGTCTTGCAGGTTTTTGAATAGAAAGCTGTGAAAAGAAAAGGAGACGAGAAAAGTATAGAAAAGTAGGAACCCAAGATCGACCATCCAAAGTTCATTTTTGCTAGTGCTGTGCTAGGACAGTTGGGCAAAACTATAGATAGAATATCCTCTAGAACCATGAAAAGACTGAATTTTTAAAGGATGCTTGGAGTTGAGCATGTATTTGTGGTGTTCCCTGCCCCTTCCTCCACATCTACCCATGCAAAGTTCATTCTTGGAGCTGTTTGAAAGCAAGCTTTAAAAGGAAAATGGCATTAAAAAAGTAGGAATCCAGGATCTTACCATCCAAAGTTGAAATTGCAGGTTTTTGAAAAGAAGCAACAAAAGGAAAATGGGATGAGAAAAGAAGAAATCCACGATCTTACCATTCAATGTTCAGTCTTGCAGGTTTTTGAATAGAAAGCCGTGAAAGGAAAAGGGGATGAGAAAAGTACAGAAAAGTAGGAATCCAAGATCGACCATCCAAAGTTCATTTGTGCTAGTGCTGTGCTAGGACAGTTGGGCAAAACTATAGATAGAATATCCTCTAGAACCATGAAAAGACTGAATATTTTAAGGATGTTTGGGATTAAGCATGTATTGTGGTGCTCCCTGCCCCTTCCTCCACATCTACCCATCCAAAGTTCATTCTTGGAGCTGTTTGAAAGCAAGCTTTAAAAGGAAAATGGCATTAAAAACATAGGAATCCAAGATCTTACCATCCAAAGTTGAAATTGCAGGTTTTTGAAAAGAAGCAACAAAAGGAAAATGGGATGAGAAAAGAAGAAATCCACGATCTTACCATTCAAAGTTCAGTCTTGCAGGTTTTTGAATAGAAAGCCGTGAAAGGAAAAGGAGATGAGAAAAGTACAGAAAAGTAGGAATCCAAGATCGACCATCCAAAGTTCATTTGTGCTAGTACTGTGCTAGGACAGTTGGGCAAAACTATAGATAGAATATCCTCTAGAACCATGAAAAGACTGAATTTTTAAAGGATGTTTGGGATTAAGCATGTATTTGTGGTGCTCCCTGCCCCTTCCTCCACATCTACCCATCCAAAGTTCATTCTTGGAGCTGTTTGAAAGCAAACTTTAAAAGGAAAATGGCATCTAAAAAGTAGGAATCCAAGATCTTACCATCCAAAGTTGAAATTGCAGGTTTTTGAAAAGAAGCAACAAAAAGAAAATGGGATGAGAAAAGAAGGAATCCACGATCTTACCATTCAAAGTTCAGTCTTGCAGGTTTTTGAATAGAAAGCCGTGAAAGGAAAAGGAGATGAGAAAAGTATAGAAAAGTAGGAATCCAAGATCGAGCATCCAAAGTTCATAATTGAAGGTTTTTGAATGGAAAACTGTGTTTGAAAGGAAGAGTGCATGAGAAAAGTAGGAATAGCTGATCTTACCATCCAAAGTTCATTCTCGCAGCTGTTTGAAAAGGAAACTTGGAAGGAAAATGGAAGGAAACAAATTGGAATGCACGATCTTACCATCCAAAGTTCATAATTGAAGGTTTTTGAATGGAAAATTGTGACAGGAAAAGGACATGAGAAAAGCAGGAATCAAACTTTGAAAGGAACATGGCATGAGAAAAGCTGGAATCCACGATCTTACCATCCAAAGTTCACAATTACAGATTTTTGAAGGGAAAAGTGTGAAAGGAAAAGGAAATGAAAAAAGTAGGAATCTACGTCTACGATCTTACCATCCAAAGTTCATTTTTTGCAGCTGTTTGAAAAGGAAAATTTGAAAGACAAAAATAAAGTGGAAGGTTTTGAAAAGGAAAGGAAAAAAAAACACACATTTTGAGCATCCTGGAGTAGATTTTGGAATATTCTATCTAGGGGGTCCGAATATATAGTTTAGTATTGGGTCAAAAAACCCTGGTTTTTTTCAAAAAAAAAACGCCCCCTACGATACGGGATTCTATCTACTCCAGGATTGTTATATATATATATATTGAATGTTTTGAATGCAAGAGTTCTCTCAATTTCAACGCAAATCATGGCAAGACTGCGACCTTTTCCAAACCATGATTGTATTTTGGTCAATCAAATTTGTTCCTAATTGTGCTTTAAACGGTTTATTGTTGATTGCAGTCTTGCAATCTTCCATCCCTTCCAGGTGACAGGTGCTTCTCAGCAAATTTGACATGTCACATGGTCGGATGGTGTCGGATGGTGTCGGATGGTGCCGGTCTGACCTTCGCACTGTGAGGACGAGGCTATGCCGCCCGCAGATGCCACGGATGCTCCGGCAGCTCCGGCCGCTCCGGCTGCTCCCGCCGCACCGGCAGCGCCGGGCGTGGCTGATGAAGACCTGGACGTCTTTGGCGTCAACGTGAATGATGTCAACGGCACTGGAGAGCCGTGGGGAAGCCCAGGGAAGCCCAGGGAAGCCCAGAGACACTTGATGACACTTGTTTTTCCATGTTTTTTCACAGCACATTTCACATTTCCGTCAGGAATTCTGTCTATGACACATGTTCAGTGTCTGTCCTAGTTGTCGCATGCTTACCGGCCAGCTTGGACACAGCACGGCCACAGTACTTTACCCCAAGGCTGTGTAGCCTCTTTGCCCTGGAAGATTGGGTTCTGCTCATGCTGCGAGTGGAGTTCCACCTGATGGCCCACTCATTCAAAAAGGATTCAGGGGAGGGGGACAAGCTGCAAAGCTGCAATTGCTAGCTGCTAGCTACATTGATTGTTGGAAGCAAAGTCTAATGCAAACCCAATCTTTAGATATCTTTAATACAAAAAGTGTCATGCAGTCAGCTGAAGACGACAGTGCTCCTTCAAGACCGAACCTTTCCTGTTGCTCTTTAACATGTTGAGCCAGGATGTCACAGACCCAGAAAGGCCTGGCATCCATGTGGACAATGTGCCCTACTACTACAACAAGTACTTCCGAAAGACTTTCTTAGAAGCGCTCTCAGAAAGCTTTCCATCCATATGACATCCTGCATGCTTGTTGGATTTGAAATAACATGCCATGATGATCCATGATGTAGATCGATGCACGGAGATAAATACTCTGCTCTCCGGCACGTAGACTCAGAGAAAGGCTGTCAAAGGTGCCAACAGAGAAGGGCCTGTCCTATTTGAGTTGTGCGAGACATGAGGCAAGCCATTACGGATTTGAAAGCAACGAGAAGGTTGTGGAGTTGCTGAAGGACGGCAGGGCTCGTTGAACGGACAATGCAAAAGAACGACAAAACCGTTGATGGTTGGTTCAAACTCACAACATGCACATTAGATAAACTTCGAATCAAATTATTTGTCCCTATGGTTCGACTAGGTTTCACAGATTTCCGCCAAGATGTGTGAGAGAAAGAAAGAAAGCCATGGAGAGAGATAGAGCATGAGAAAGCGTCAGAATCTGATAGAATAAAGTCTGATAAAGTCTGATAAAGTCTGATGAAGTCTGATATATAAAGCTAGAGAACAACGAGAACAACGAGAACAACGAGAACAACAGAGAGGTGGAAGAGCTGGAGCCATGACAGCCATGACAGCCATGACAGCCATGACAGCCATGACAGCCATGACAGCCATGACAGCCATGACAGCCATGACAACCATGACAGCCATGAGTTTGATTTGAACAGAAGTATCAAATGTATCAAAAGGGTGGCGAAGTCGCGAGGCAACTTCATGCGACCGGGATTGATTGACACTGTGACTTTGCTCAGCTTTCTGTGAGGATTTGTAAGGCTTTCTTTCGGCTAAGTCTTGTTGGCAACGTCAAAGGACACAGTCAGCTTGAACCAACAGAAAGTTTTGGTGCCGGAGTTGGACGAGGCAGGGCCTTCCAACGTTGATCATTGGTATTTTTGGCGGCTCTCTTTCCCCACAATCACTTTCTTTTGATGCCTTCCAAGATTCCATATGGGTAAAACATAGCTACTAATTTTGATTCGTTGATTGAGGAGTCCAGGAGCTTGCTTGAGAGTTTGACAGTGGACATCAGCTCTAGGAGTCCAGGTAATATCTTGCTACGATGCAGCTTTAGTTCAGATACAAATTTTGACGGCAGTGGCCAGATTTTTATGTCTTACAAAAATCATTTCTTTCCCCTTCCTGGGCTAAAAGGTGGTGTACTGTATATACCCAAAAATACAGTAACATCTTTGTAGTTACGAGACACCCTCTGTCCCAACAGTGACTCGACGGGATCTTTCTCCGAGTAAACTACTGTATATTGCACGACTTGCTACAACTGTCTGCAACTTTGTAGCTGTAGCATTGGATATGTTGAGCTAGGTTGTGATCAGAATGTGACATAGATCGGGTGTTTGCAGACGTGCTTCCCAACTGAGCGCCGTGGCGCTGTTGGGTCCAAGCAACGATTGCTTTGGTCTGCACCAAGCCTGTCGATTTTGCATTCTTCAGACTCTTCAGACATTCTCATCGTATTCTCGAGGACCTGGACAACTTTGACCTGTTTTTGAAGCTCACAGAGGAGGGACGTCGTGAGCGAGAGCTGCCACTTGGACTTACCCTTCATACTTTTCGCTCTCATTTTGAAGCTTCTTTTGTGACAGTGAGCGTAAATGCCACGGTAGCTAAGCTTTGGACAGCTTTGGACAGAAGATCGGTTTGATTTTCAGATAACATCCAGCACACATACAGCATACGTCCAGATGCTTGCAAGATTTGCTCTCAACGAGCTTTCAAGCTCATGAGGTTGATTGATCTTGGAGTGCCGCACTCAGACAATTGAGTTTATGCAGCCAAACTGGCGCTCGAGCACATCTCCCAACGCTCTTGCACAAGGTAATTGATTATCAGTTTTTAACAGAATATATCCAGGTTCACACAAGAAGCACATAGAAGCACCAAATTTTCCCTTTGTGAGTCACCTCAGATCACCTTATCACATGGAGAAAATTAGACCCAGTAGATACTGAAAAAGAATGAAAAAGATCCGATTGCGTAGCCGGCGTAGCCTGTGAGCCTCTGCTGACAAGGAAGACGAGGCCGTACTCAGATTCAACCATAGCGTGCTTGCGGACTCTTGGCTGAACACTTTGGTGTTCTCAGGAAGTGGCAAATCACCTCGCATTCCGAAATTCCGCCGGGGCCATTTTTCTTTAACGCCTTGCAATGCCTTGCATCTTTTTTGTTTCAAAGCTCAGCTTAGGGGTCTAGCTCATGGCCTCATTATCTTAATTAGTGAAGGCTTACTGATATTTGTCCTTTCCATCAGGCTGAGGTCTCCCTTGTTGTGGAGTATATAGCCTTAGAAATCTGGAACTGATGGTAGACTGCTCAGTCAAAAACGATTTTCCAAAAATCATTCACTTTGGGCTACCTTTTTGACTTGACCAAATGACATGAGCTCATCAGTCTTGAGCCTGGCAATTGGGTGGGCATGAGACTTCTATGAAGTTGGGAATAGCCCTTCAATACAGCATCCAGGAAACTGCGTAATTTTTGGCTGGACTGCTCACTTTAAATGCGAAATATTTGATTATTTGATATGTTCTCGGCAGAACATAGTATCCGTTTTTGTAGACGTTCCATCTCGTCCACAAAACTTGGCAACCCTGTGAAGTTTGCTCGGCGAGGCACTAGTCTATGGCAACATGGGAAAGGGCACGGTTCTTAGACCGGTAGTGCTACATCGGCACATTGGCCCCAGGATGGAGACAAGCCTGGGCAGGTTTGGGTTGGACCACACAAGTTGTAAGATGTTGCAAGAATTGACGCATGACACAAAAAAAAACAAAAATCCGACCGTGCATGACTCACTGCATGACCGTGCAGATACGCTGTTTCCATAGTTTTAGCGGGAGTTGGACTTCGACAGTTTGTTGCCTTACTTCTTGCCATTCCTGGCTCAAATTCTGTTGGCCTGTTTGTGCCCCTACATCATGTCTGTGTTTCCGTGGGATATTGCCTTCCAGATCTTCGATTCCTCTGCTGGTTTTTCAAAGTTTTTCCTGTCCTTTTCAACTCTTTACGTCCCTCTGCCAATTCTGGCCAACTTTGGGGGAATGGTGACAACATGTGGCAACCTGTTTTGTCTGACAAACCCATCTTCCTCTATCACTTCCCACTTCTATCAAGGTGTTGAAGACGATTGTCAGATATTGTTCGTATTCCAGGGTATGACCTTTGGTAGGTCGAATCAAAGCCGTTTCTTTCGGGGTCTGGTCTGCTATGCTCGCAAGTGCCTTCTTTTGTGTCCTACAGCCTCCGTGATTCTCCTTTTCATCTCGCAGCCTGCATGTCTCCGCCTGTGGCAGCTCCTTTTACAATCCTAATTTGAGTGTCTGAGTGTGCGGATGCTTAAAATGATGCAACCAGAAGCAACTCTGAAGGGGCGCGTTTGTCTTGCAAGCGCATACCACTGGCACTGACTGCTGGCTGAACATCTCTAGACAGACACTGGCTTGCTCTATTTGGGTCTATTTGTGTACCAGTAGATGCGGCTGTCCTGGTGACCCGACGTTCATCGCTTCTCAATGACAAGTGATTTCTTTTGTCTCTTTTGTTTGCCTTGTGTGAGCCACATGGATTCACTTGAAGGTCAGTGCCCCGTACTGAGGCTATTACACGAAAGGCCCAGGTAAAGGTCTAGATCAGAAGGCCCGGAGCCATGCGAGCGACATTTCAGGGATGTGAAATGTTTCGAACTGTTTCAAACTGTTTCAGTATGTTTTAAGCTTGTGACTAGTTTGTTCTTCTATTCGACATTCTTGGCTTGGATTTACAGTAGACTTCTTGCTCAGGATCAAGCACACACACATCCTTATTAGCCCTGCTTAGATAGTCCATGTTGAGAGCAAGCCTTGAGGCAGATAGACGGATAGACAGATAGATTGTGTGCACAGGTAGATGGTATATTCATAGGATAAAGAGATGCAGAAATAAGGCATATAAACCAGGCTGCGGTAGGAAGAAGATAACAGTTAGTAGACCTACTAGATTAGATTGACTCCACAAGAGGAGCAACAGCATGAACATGCATGCACAAACTCACTAGCTGTTTAGAAATGAGCGTTCACGATTTTTTTTGTTCTCGTTGACGCGTCCTTCCTTCCATGCTTGCACAGAAGAGTGCCAGAAAAAGAGCTTCATTTTTGCTGTCTCCTCTTGTCGCACCAATCATTCTGGGTTGCACGGCTGCAACCGAATCAAGTCGCCGATGGCCAGGGCAAAGGCTTCCAGGGGAAAACGTGGCAGGCCTGTTGCTGACACAGCTCATCTTGGCTGGAGGGCCCTAGGGCATTGATTTACACGATGGGATTTTTAGCGTTTGTTCTGTTGCAAGAGGGGAACGAGGTATGGGCTGAGCCAAACCAATGCTTGCGCGGAAGATAAACACCAAGAAACTAGAGAACTCCAACGCACGCCTTGTTCTGTTCAGGGCAAAGGCTTCGACAAGGGCTATGACAAGGGCTACGACAAGGGCTACGACAAGGGCTACGACAAGGGCTATGGCGGTGGTGGCTCTTGGGGCAAGTCAGGCCGCCGTTTGTACTTTTGCCTTTGCGCAATTTGGATGAGGATGTCGTGAACTGTTTTTTAATTCGAGCATCTGCCCTTTTCTTGCTGTCTGCTCCCTCTTCTTTGGACAGTTAAAGCGTTCATGTATCCACCAAGGTTGGCGGGATCGGAATTTTGCATGGGCCCTCCTCAATTGCAAAAAAAACAAACTAAGTTGCATTCTGAGCAAATTCATGGCAATGGTCCAATGCAGCTTTTAGCTTTTTGTGCTGTGGGCAGGTTGCGGATGCATGGGAGGCAACTTGGTGAAGAACGGTTGGAAAAACAGTTGTCTCTCTCTCACTCTCTCTCTCTCTGTTGTGAATCCTGAACAATCACTGGCATTTGGCAGCTGGCCCAAGCAACACGATGTCGCTTCAACCGCGTCAAAAATGAAGGTGTTATCAAAAATGAAGGTGTTGTTGAATTCAACATGCTTTTAATCTTTTTTGATTGGTTGCCCATTGCTTTGGAACTTGTTCCAGGCAAACCACAGCAGCTTGGACGCATTGGGTTGCGGTTGAGGTGTTTGGAACTATTTTCCATTTTGCCCAGAGGCTTAAGTGGATGCATATTAGTTTCCAAAATAGTGTGGGGGTGTGTGGAAAGGCGGTAGTGCCGGAACTGGTGCTTACTGCATCGTCCACATCACGAGTTTGGACAAGTTCGCCACGTGCCGGTTTCCTTGGTGGCTGCCTGCTGCTTGTAGTCTTCATTATTTTGTGCTGAGTTCTCCATGGCTGTTGTTTTAAAAACCGTTTCTTCAGCTGCCTCTCAAATCCTTTCAATAGGTTTTCCTTTTCCAAAGATGCATTTTTTGCGACTGCTTCTCCGATCGTCTCCATTTTCAATATATACTTATTATATACTTATGTTGTATATAATCTTATTTCAATATTTCGTTTCTTTCTCTGGTGGGTTCATGTCACGTTGCATGATGTCGCGCAGTTTTTCGGTAACGCACACCATTATTTCTGTCTAGTCCGCAAAGCTGCTGTGTCTAGTGCCCTAGTCCTCAGGACGGCCAGTCATGGTGACACTAGTTTGGTTGGTGATGCAGCCTAGGCCCCAAGTAGAATTTGAGCTGAAGGTCTTTGGCAAGGTTTCTTTGTACTGGTTTGGAAAAATTATATAGATTTTGGGAAAACCGATATACGTTGCTCGAGGCTTTGAACTGTGCACTCACTTTCAGATCTCTGGTTTGTGTCTCTGCATTTTACCATGGACTGACGAACCATTCTAGTGATGGTCTTACCATCCTTACCAGAAGTAGAAAGCACAGGCCCAGGAAAAGGATTCAACCTGGATCCGGTGAAGCATCGTATTTTGGGCGCTGAAACATTTGTTTCGTTACGCAATCTGAATGCAGCAGGGCCTTTGTTCATAGTCGACCCGTTTGCATCAAGAAATAAGTGGCACAAGCCACGTGCCTTATGAAGCCTTCTTATTTGAATTGATTTGATCCTTTTCTTTTGCATTCTTTTGCCAGGATGGGTGGCAAGAAGGGCTTCAACAACTATGGCAAGGGTTATGGCAAGTGAGGGCAGCTTGTGACGCTCGAAAATTTTGGGCTTATACGGGGTCGGCCTCTCTGGTCAGACTGCATTATGCACACTTGGCAGTTCAAAAGAAGCGTGCTGGTCAAACCGTTTTTAGAATGTTCCTAGGAGGCATCTGATTCGAGGAAGTTCGGGCCGGGCTGGAACTTATGTGAGTCCAATAGAAGGGCAAGTCAAACTCAACTTCACTCCAGACCCGGATTCAGAGAACTCACCTGAACCCATTCTGAACTCACACTTTATTGTTGTGACTTGATGTGTAGGAGACACCACTTGTCTTTTCCAACGAGGCAGTATTGCCTGTGCCCAAGATATTGCATAATAATTGCCTCGCAACAAAGGGCCAAATGCAGGATGATACGAAAGGGCATGTTTTCAAAGGACTTGTCCCCTGCACACGCAATGCAAAACTGTCACCATCCACACATTAACATGAGGTGACATTGACATCAGTCCTGTTTTTACCATACTGCGTGCTTTTCGTAAATTGTACATAGCAGAGGTGCTGAGAGGGTCAGATTGATTCAGATAGAGGGATTTAATTAGATTCAACCCGACTGATTATAGACTAAATAGATGGAATGTGTGGAGACAACCTGACCTGCTTTGAAATTAAATCTCTTTTCAGAAGCCTGAACTATTATATATAGTATATATAGGTACTGCAGGCTGCGAATCACTAGCGTGGTAGAACATACTACGATGTTGGCATTTGAAACGATTTTCTTTTTCTGCAGAAAAAAAGCCACTAGATGCCACTAGCCCATGTTTTGAATTTGCTTTTTCATGCATGTCACAGGTGACATTGCGAGATTGCCGCAAGTGCACCAAAACCTGGAGGTGCAACATACCTGCCAGCAATTGGATGAACAAAGCTTGAGAACTGTTGACATTGAAGATTAGTTGGGCGTGCTGAGAAGAGATTTCTCAAAACTCTGTTGAATGGATTCAGGCGAGGTGGCAAAGCTTGAGCCGAAGAGTCAAAAAAGACTGCAATGGATTTGCAGAAAAGTCAAACTTGCGCAGCGCTGCACTGCAATGATATGATATGCAATTACTAATTTGTCTCAATTTTCTAGTCAACGCTGTTGTCAAGGGCCAAAGGGAAGATTGAAGCGCTAGTTCAACTCTAAACATACAAGGGCTAGCTATTTTTGTAGATATCAGATCTGAAACAGGGTGTGCTGTAGTTCTGTTCATGTCCCTGTCCTCCTTTTCTTTAAGTGTCACTGGTTCAGATATGAACCTTTTTTGCAATGAGTGTTTTAATTAAGACACGGCAAGGCCAATTCCTAAACATTGAACACATTGAACACCATTCAACACGCCAACTTTTGCAACATTTGCATGGCAGAATACAGGCTGAGGCTGGACCACGCGGTTCGTTCAGACGTTGCTCACCAAGGGCACTTGTCATTCCAAAATCATGCAATCTATGTGGACAATGTTGGGGATCTTATCAAAATGTTTGCAGGGCTGTTCCAACCGTTTCAACCGAGCATGTTGAAATCAATCGAAATAAACGGACACGAAGGGAATCTGCGGCCGTTTGCTCCACTAGTTCGGGTGAACAAACCAATGTAATATATGACAACCCGCGAAACCCATGAACATTCGGTGAGGAGAATGAAACTGTTCCATTTGGTTTGTTTGCAACTTGTGAGGGCCTGGGCGCCGCTTCAAACGGAAGAACAATCTCTGTACCCATGTTTACCGACCTTGGTGTTACAAATTGATTGAATAGCATAGGACTCCAACCCATACGGAAGTGTTGATATATTTTGATATCGTGTAACAACATCCAACTGCAATCATGTAAAAACAACAATCATTGCCACAGGAGTTCCACACATCAAAAAGGCAAGCGAACCCTACGAACAAGACAAAACAACGATATTTATTGATGTGACAAACATGACCGACCAGAAACTATGTGCTCCATCAATGCCTTGGCCTTGGTTGTTTCAGTACCCGAGCACATGAATGATGAGACATGTCTCAGAACACAGACATGTTTGACATGTTTACATCAGTTTGGTCTTTAGGTTACGAATCTTTGGTCGCTCAACTGGACGAGAGAACAGTGACATTGTTGGTGAGTGCGCCAGATGAGCTTTTCGTGACATTGAATGGTTCTTGATGTTCTTGTTGTTCGAAAGGTACATCCAGATTGGTGCAGCTCATGGAAGGCCAGTGTATAGACAGCAGGGATCCACCACTGTCATTAGATACTGGTCCAGGACTTGGTCGGAGCAAAACAGAGCTTCTTGTTGGCGAGCTGTGGCGAGTTGTGACCAAAACAGGAACGTTCTCAACCCAGGCCACCACAAAAGCGTTGGGTTATCGATCGAGAAGGTCTCCGAGAGTCTGACGTGCTTCACTTAACTTCCACTCACCAAGTTCTTAATCCAAGGCGTGTTTGTTCACAGGCCTTGTTTGAACCATGTTATTTGCATTGGGCCTGTTGGGCATATATTCTTTTCCTTACAATGGCTGCTCGTGATATCCAGTCCAGGTCTGCGTAGCGTTTGCTGCTGAATCTTTGGATTTGCCTCATCCGGCTTATCCACACCTGATCTGGTCTGAACTGACCTTAATCTCTTTCAAAGTTATGGACTTGTGTGCAAACCATACGGAATGATGTGCACCATGTTGGGGCAGGTTTTGTTTCGCAATGAACTGGACAATGTTGAGAAGGCGTAGATGGAATCTCCCCGTGACATTGAGGTCTGGGAGACTACAGCGCAAGCGCATGTTTCTGATACTCAGGCTGCTGTCCTGCATCATACACATTGTTATGTCGAATAATTCGAATAATATAATATAATACAACATAATATAATATAATACAACATAATATAATATAATATAACATAATATAATATAACATAATATAATATAATATAATATAACATAATATAACATAATATAATATAATATAATATAACATAATATAAGATAATATAACATAATATAATATGATATAATATACCATAATACAATATAATATAATATAACATAATATAATATAATGTAATCTAACATAAAATAATATAACATAATATAATATAATATAACACATATAATACAATATAATATAATATAACATAACATAATATAATATAATATAATATTATATAATAAAATATAACATAATATAATATAATATAACATAACATAATATAATATAACATAATATAATATAATATATAATATAACATAATATAATATAACATAATATAATATAATATAACATAATATAATATAATATTATATATATATATATAATACAACATAATATAATATAACATAATATAATAAAACATTAAATAATATAATATAACATAATATAATATAACATAATATAATAAAACATAATATAATATAATATAACATAACATAATATAACATAATATAATAAAACATAATATAATATAATATAATATAATACAATATAATATAATATAATAGAATAGAATATAATATATGCATATTTGTTTCACTTCAATGCAGATAAATTGAAGCTTTGACTTCAACCAGACAGTTTGTGTTCTTTGAGGGCAGACTTGAGGTGTTTGCCTCATTCAGTGATTCCCAACTGTTTGCCATGATACCCTTTAGATGGCAAGTTTCTGTATGAACATGTCAGAAAAATCTGAAGAAGGTTGAGCTGTCCGCTAAAAAATATAGCAACTCCAACAAACTGTATTTTTCTTTTTGGGACATGTTTGAAAACGATGCCTGGGGGTCTAAAAGTGGTGATTCACTGTATTTGTCAATCTCGGAATTGTAAAGGTTTACAGTAATCTTTCTGCCTTCCTTTTTGAAACGATTGAAAGTCCTAGATAGCGATGTTGGGAAGGGTGGGATGAAAAAATGCCGCACACGAAACAGCATGATAGGTCCGATAGGTTGTTTTTGCAGCAGATGCTAAAAATAATGTGAACAAACTGTCTCTTGCGGGATGCTGCAAAAGTAGACACTTGCGAGATGTTTCTGGCTCCGGAAGGGTAGAAACTGGCTATGACATGTCAAGGAAAATCATCCTCTTGCGAGGGGCGCCATGTAGATGTTACCACATGCCATGAATGCTACTTACCAAGCAATGTTCATTTTGGCATCGTGCCGGCTTTACATGTGGCTCAAGAGCTGTCAAAACAGTCTCCGCAGCTACCACTTGCTGTGGTGGCCGTGCTGGTTCAATTGGGACGGTGGTTAGTTCAGGTAGTATTCTGGTGGTTGTGCCAAAATCTGTCAAGAATTGGAGAAAAGCCTGAAACTATTGATGTGCATGGAAAGGTGGTATGAAGGAAGGTTAATTGCTGGCGGTTTCTGGAGGTAGTGTTTGTTAGCTAGAAATGTTGCAAATAACAATGTACTGGGTTGGGAAGGTTGCAATGGTTGACAAAGGGGGTATTTGTTTTGGCGCGGCCTTGTCTTAAGCATTTTTTTCCCTGCAGAACCTGATGTTTTGCTCTGCGTGCGCAAAAACTGTTGACGAAACAAACTTGGTTTAGATGATTCCATGCCAAGTGCCCCGCATTCCAAATGAAACAGCACCCAAATCTCCAAACTAACAATATTGAACCGAATCAGCCTTCCGCAGAGGGGAATTCATAAAACCGGCTGCATACGGCTGCATACCAGCACAGGTGATAGCTATTTCTGCACCTGGTTGCGTGACCATTGTGGGAAGAGATGAAGGCCTTCACCTAGAACCAGCCGCAACCAGTGCAGGATAACTAGACCCTTGCTGTGTGTGCTGTGCTCTCCCGTGCCAGGACGAGAGAACAACTTTGTGAATGGCCAATACAGTTTCAGTACTGTTTGCCACGGTAGGCTTGGATCACTGATGTCACTGATGCCTTGTTCCAAAAGCAATCTGTTCTTCCTCTGACAAGGCCAACATATTTTCATTCCAGAGGTGACTTGTGCATTCGCTACGTGAAGGAGGAGTATCATGGAGTATCCATATGTTTTTCAGTTGCATTAGGGCATTCCAATTTTGTGATCCATACTATACAGATCTATGAAGGTCCAGGCATGCTTTGAGTCCAGCTTTTGTTCAAT